GTAGTGTCCTGCTAGAACTTCCCTTTTTCCCTTCCCACTGCTGACTAGTCCACCGTTCACACTTCGCAATGTTGCTACCCCTGTATCCCCCCCTTGCGCGGTCTTTTTTACCATCCCACTAATCCCTTCCCACATCTGCTTGACGTTCCCCTCCAGGCCTCCGTTGGCCTTCTGCACTACTTCGTCCCAAATGCTCTTTTTCTTCTTTTTCACTAGTCCCTTCACCTGTTTCCTCTTGGCCCTGTACTTTTCCCAACTCTCTTCAGACCCCTCACCCAGGTACTGCTTGAAGACTTCTCTACGTTCCCCTATTTCTTCTTTCAGCTCGTCATCCCACCACTTAATTAACCGATACCCCACATCGTACCACCTTCTTTCCCACTACTCTCTCTGCCGTTGTGTTCACTATGGACTCCCATCCTTCAATCACCCTGTCCCCTGCTGCTTGTACGTCTACCTTTCCGTCTTCGACGCTTCTCAGCAGTTTCCTGAAGGGTTCTACACTACCAGCCAATCCCTTCTGGAATTCATCGCGTGTCCCCTCGTCTCCCAAACGCTCTACTTTCCACCGGAACACTTTCCTCTTTTTCTTACTCTCCGTCTTTCTAGATCGGTCGATGTTTGCCCATATATATGAGGAAATGGTCGGTCGAACCTATATCTATCGCACTTACGTGCAGCTCCGGGACCTGTGTGCTCCCCCTATCTACCAGGATGTAGTCGAGGATCGAGTATTCATTGCAAACTGCCCTCTGCCTGGTGAACTCTGGCTTATCGCTTTCCCTCCTACCGTTCAACACCATCAGCTCGTTGCTTCCCAAGAATTCAAGCATCCTCACTCCGTTGTCATTCACTTTGTCTTCTCCGTGCTGCCCGATCGCCTGTCCTCTACTGCAAGCTTTCCCTACTCTGGAGTTGAAATCGCCCACCATGACAACTTCTCCCTTCCTACTGAACCTCTGGACATCTTCCCCAATTTGTCCGAAGTTCTCCTGCGCCTTGCTTGCGACTTTCTTCGACGACGGTGGGACGTATACGTTCCCTAGAAACAAATCTTTCTCACCCCGCTCCCCAGGTATCTTAAGCCATAGGCTTTCCTCGAACTCCGTTTTCACCACTACTTCCACCACGTCATACAAGTGTTCCTTGACCAGGAATCCGACTCCCCCCTCCCCCCTTTTCTTCGGGTCTAAGCCCTTTCTTGCCTTCCCTACCCACCGGTACTTCCCTATTTTGCTTACCACGTCCCCATCCTTCAGTTCCCACGTCTCTTGGATCCCCACTACATCCAGATCGCTTTGTTCTACTTGGTCCACTATTTCCAACCGCTTGCGCTCACTCCTTGCGAACCCGCACACGTTCCACGACCCCACTCTCAGCTTGTGCTTTTCCCTATTGGAGATTTTGCGCACTCTATGTGGGGGGGGGGGGCGTCATCTGTAGCCCTGGTTGATCGTGCAGCGAATATTAATATTTCAATGCTAAGGGATCCCATAGCTAAGGAGCCTTGTCTGGTGTCTGTCTGGTAGCCCCTGAAGGCGTTGTCTTGTGTTTTTTGCTGACGTACTGGCGCACACATGGGGGTTCTGCCACTTGAAAAAGTCTTTCTTTGTGTTGTGTGTGTGATGAGGTTGGCTGGGATTTAGCTGTTGCGTGAAGCCGTCGAACATCACTTCTGGCTCGTCTGTTGAGTGTTGAGTAAGCCGCTTATGCCCCTCTTCGCAGGAAGACATTTATGTACGTCACCCACCTGTTTTTTGTGCATTTGGGATTTTGTTGGTCATCCTTGCGCATACATGTTGACTCTGTTCCCATGTGTGGCGAATTGTGTCTCACATTGTTGTGATTGTTGGTGCTTTTGTTATTGTTGGTGGTGTCCTCCACGATGAAACCGTTTCGGTCTCTGCTTCCTGCCTCTTCAACACCCGGAACGGTCCAACTGAGCCGGAACGCCTTCCCTTCTGTGTAGTCACCCCCCACAATGCACGCCATAAAAATGAAAACACGGAGAAAGCGTCGCGACAGACAGACGGTCGACATAACATGTCGCACACATCTACATTTCGCTATGCATAGAATATGAGTTCTTCGTGCGGCGCCGTCCTGAAGCGCTCGACCCCACCTGGCGTGTTTGCGAGGACACGAAATAGCACAAGGATAAGCATTCCCGCGGTTGTCAACGGCAGAAAATGCCCCACTACGCACGGCTGGTTGTCGGCGTGGTGAAAACAACGGCGGTTGGTTCCGCGAACGTTCCTTCTTCCTTGTTTTCGTCTATCTATCGAACCAACTTGAGTTGTTCGGTTGAGAGCTGTAAGAAGGCATGCCGTGCGTGGCGATGCCGGTTCATATGAACAAACGAGGAGCGGGCAAGAATCGGGCGTACAACAGTACACACGACACCGCGGCCTTCGGCTTTCCGAACACAAGGAAGAACCACGCTTATTTTGGTTTCATCAAGCACCATGCAGATATCATCCTTTTGTTTCCGAGAAGGAGATGCGCTCTTAATTTGCCTCCAACCCGTCACCATCCCGTAAGCAACACAAGCAACGACCACTACCAAACGCACGTACATAATGACATAATGACATAATGACCGAACCGACGTTGAGATTGCGTGTGCACACACCCGGCGCGTGTCCCGCAAACTCTCACGACAAAACGAACTGACCGTTACCGTCGTATCCACGTGTATGCCAAAATCACTTCCTCAGTCGGAAGAGACAGGAACTTTATCAATGAACGAGAGGTAAAACACCCGGGTGCATGAATGAATGAATGCACCAAACCCAATCATGACAATCGCGGGCCCAACAGTCACGCGCGCACGCCTAGTGTATGCAACACAACCGGGACATGCCAGCAAATACATTTACTTGTACGTCGCCGGGTTTTACCACCACTTTTCTTCCACCACCACCGTGGAAATATCCAGGACATATCCAACCCGACGTTAAGGCGAAAACGACCGACCAAATCTACCGTTTAACCACGAAAAAAAAAGACCTCATCGATGGTTGTGTGCGACCAACCAAAGCGGCGGCCAGTTTTGACAGGTGGGCCATGACAAAAAAAGCAGACACGCAAGGCCTTGAATACTTTCGGAGGGTACGACAAGAGACCGGCTGGCTGGCTGGTTCGCGACAAGCTTAAGTGTTTCCGAGACCCGTAACCGACGGGACACAATCATATAAAAATCAAGGAATCACACGCCACAAACCAAGCCATCGTCACGATTCATCGAAACCGCCACTACAAAAATAATAGCGGTTGCGCATTCGGGCGGACACCGAATGAGTCAGCAGCACCTGCGCTTGGCGATCGTCTAGAGCACCACGGCTTTGTCGCCTTGACCGCCTGCCCTGCAGCAGCAGCAGCAGCAGCAGCGTTGAACGTCTGGGCATGCGGTGTGACCACCATCCTCTCCCCCGACAGGGAGAAAAAAAAAAAAATGTTTATCCCGTGGGAGACGGGACGAAACCTCACCAACATCACCTGCTGGCGGCAAAGACAGCTCTGGCAAGACTGGGTAATAAGTCGTCGTTGTACGGTCAATCTAGCCGACAGGCTTTCTCCACGGCCAGCCCCAAAGGTCATAGCCGGTAGTAGTGTGGGTTCACGTCGACCATCACCTACCCCCTCTCTTTGCCAACTTTCTTCTATATCATATAATAACACACATCATCATCTTGGGTTTTCCCTCAGTGCGAGCAAACCACCGCGTCTGTTCTTCTAGTCAACATCTCCCGTCGCCCGTGCCCCAACTCAAGCCAGCACACAGCAGGAGCCCCTACACCCTTCGAACTTGGGGGAGGAAATCAACTCCATCGGCTCACACAGACTACCCTGGCTGCCTGCCTGCATGCCTCGTCCGCCGTCCTCCGTAGCGTCAAAAACGCAG